TGGAAAGCTTATTTATTCAGCTTTCAAATGATGCATAAATCTCAATTTCGAAAAATTGACCCTTATGACTGGTTTTGTGCTCCAGGGTCACATATAGTTTTCATAATGCACTCTGATTAATAATGCACAACTGATGCACACTTAATGACTCTTTATTGGTCAGAATTTATAGATGAATAAATAAATGTACGTTTGTGAATGTGTTGATGTTTTTATTATTCTCTTATTTTTAATCACCATGAACAAATATGAAAAAAAAAAATATATATAATAAAAAAATATTATTTCCAAGATAAAGTACGTATATGCGTCAGAGTTATTCGTGTGATGTCTTCAGAGTATTTACAGCAACATTTGTATTCGCTCCTTCCTCGTATAATGAACTGTGACGTTCATCATGAGCTTGTCAGTGTGTTTTAGTAAATGTGTTGTGTTTGAATCTTTCAGTGCTGGCAGAGATTTGGTGAATGCTGTCAGAGAGCACAAGGCATCTTCAGTGTTCAGTCTAAGGATGCATACAAGTTCCTGGAGACGAATCCTTCCTCACTTTCGACGGATGAATGGGAAAAGCAGCGCAAGTCTATCATGGAGAGACTGAATGAGATCAGCCCGCAGGGGTCGTCTAAAGTCGCCATCACTGAGTGACACACAGAGAGACATGATTAAAGAATTAACTAATTCATCACTTTTTACAATGAGATTTACTAATGCATAGATTCTCTAATAATGTCTAATGTAATGTCTTTACTGTTCTTGAACTAGTTACAATTCTTTGTGAATTATGTAAAATCTGGTTAAAATCACTCTGTGGTATATAATGTAAGATCCATGTGGTCTGGCCACACTGCAGAAAAAGAATGAATTAATAAACAAACAGACAAATGGAAAATGTACAGGTGAGCTAATTTTCTGCCAGGACATTATCCTTCAATTTGACGGACATGTCTGTTCACCCTAAAACACAAGGCAATGAAGTGCAAAATTTAAAATACAGGCAAAACACTGGTTAATACATTGCGCCTTATTTTCATGGATTTGTTTGACAGTGTATGTCACACAATAAAGACTTGCATTATAGCGTAATCATGTAAAAAGATTTGTCTGATGAGTTTCACTGTATTGGAAATTACAATCAAGGGTTTAAAAAAATAATTTGTCATTTTGGTAGGTTTTATTATTATTATTATATTTAAAAAAAAATGTTTTTTATGAAAAATAAAATTAAATATTGTGTGTTAGTCTGTCTGTCCAGAAGAGGGCAGCAGAGACTGATTAACACCAAGAACTTTAAACCATGTATATTAACCATAGACTGTATAAAATCAGATATTAACCTTATACGGTCTATGATATTAACAGAGCTTTGAAAATGTAATTTTGAGAACAAGAGCTGTGTCATTCCTTAGCCTTTTCTATGAACAGGTTTGTGTTGTGATTTTAGTTAGTTTCTACCATAGTGTCTATCTGACTGGTCAAGATCAGGCTTTTTCTTTTTCTTAATATGAAGAAAGACAAAAGACACACACAAAAAAACATAAATATTGGGAAATTGTCAGTTTTCATGTTAGAAGTTATTCAATTAAAGTTAAAAATATGTAAATGTTCATTTATTTGTGACAGTATGGCTTTCGTTTTGCACTTTTCAATTCTAAAAACTGTAAATCGCATGTGAATGTGTTTAAGCCGGCGTCTCATGATTGACAACCGCAGTCATCCAATCACATGCGCACTTCTAGAACCGTTGCGTCCCGCTCAGCCAATCGCTGTGCGATTAACAGCGACGCGTCCCGCCTCCCAGGCCGAGCTCAGCCAATCCGGTGCGCTCATTCTTGCATAATTAACGCAGGCTTGCGGTGGGCAGTGACGCAGAGTCTGAGACTTTGCTTGTACTTTATCAAAAACATTCGCTTCTTTCGTCGGAACGGAGTTAATACGTTTCCCGCGTTCAATCTTCACGACGTTGAAACGCAACACCGGATCAAATCTATGAGATTTCGTTTGTTCCAGACCAGACGCGCCTCTTGCATGTGGATGTTGATGTGATAGGGAATAAATAAAGATGCCGCAGCCGAAATCGCGAAAGATCGCCGTCCTGGGCTACAGATCCGTCGGTGAGTGTCGCTTGCATCAGCTTTTGATATTTCCCGCATGCATGAGATTCGTCAATGTCACCCCGTGCGCGTGCTGCATCCTCGTTAGCGCATGCATTGAAGCACGAGCCGAAGTATGCATGCTTTGTGACACACAAGATCCTAAAACACACCCTGCATCCTCATGCATATTCCCAAACGTGTCTTTAGGATGTGAATGCTGTTCTGCAGATGCACGCAGGCCTCAGCCAGTGTCAGTGTGTTTATTCTGCCTGTATGCATGCATTATGTTTCATGCATTTTCATTCTGTGTGTGTTCATATCTTGTGTCAGCATCTCACAGAGGCCTGTATTCATTTAGAGGAGCTTTGTGTTATTTCTATGAGGTTTTCGATCTTTTAAATGCCACAGGCCCCAAATATGAGCATCCTCATGTGAGGGACCCTCAATTTATATACTGTATATTTTCATGTATAAAGACCTGATTTAGACTGGTATACTATCTATACACTATATAGGGCATATTATACCAGTGTAATATTATATTTAGAAAAATTATAGTTTCTGTTTATTCTATTTTGTTAAGCTTATCTACATACTATAAGTGCTGCACTGGTTGATGTACTTTATAAATGTATTTATTAATTTTTTTAAATGGCTAAATAACTGCTTACTTTATGTATTTTAATTGTAATAATACAAATGTATTATTTAATTATTTATTTTAATATAATTGTTTATTTTAATATTTTATTATTATTCATTTTTACATTTTAAGTTTTTCCCCCCTAAACGTTTTTAGGACGCCAGATTAAAAACTCCCGATCTATAAACTGAATTAATACATTATTTCTAAATCATTCATATTATGATGTTGTGAATGAGTCTGGATGCTGCAGGTTTGTCCAATCAGAGACCAGATCCAAGTCTGAATTATGACCCATATTGATAATCAGCCGATATATCGGCTGATATTTAACCGATATTTTGAAATTATCGGCATCAGCCAACAACCTGCTACCTTATTTAATTTCCAATTAACAGCCAATATTAATAAATAAGGCTTTTTAAAACTTTTTGTATATGTACTTATATATCAACATCTATAACATATATACTGTATATATCAGCATTATATCAGTTATCTATTCTAAGTTGTTATATCGGCAATGTAAAAAAAAAACAATTTCAGTTGAAAACAAGCTCATATTTATAATAAATTCTTGGATAAGACACAGATCTGATCTCAAACATGAGTGTTGTGTAGAATTAGTTCTGTATAGATATTTAATGTTTTCATTGCGCATATTAGAGGAATAATTCATCCAAAAATAGAGATGTCATTATTTACTCACCCTCATGTCTGTAAATATAAAATTCTCAAATCTCATTTGTGTGGTGTTCAGATGAACTAACGAGAGGTTTGGTGTTGCGTATGCTCTCGAGTGTAAAATCTGTACTGAATGTGAAATGGAGAATCAGGTTCGAGAGCTGAATTGGAAGGGAAGGTTTCAGTGAAAACTAGGAGTCTAGAATGAGTTTAGGAGACTTTTTTGTCCATTTTTGGCATTTGACATTCATGCTTAATGGTGATTTATGGCTAAAACAGTTTGCCGGATGAAATGTGACCCTGCAGCACAAAAGCAGTGTTAAGTCGCTGGGGTATATTTGTAGCAATAGCCAACAATACATTGATTGTCCTATCCTAACAAACCATACATCAATGGAAAGATTGGTATTTTGTCATTTAGAGCAGATTTCTTCTCTCTGTAGTAAAGCGCTTACACAGAGCACATGTTTGCTGATGCGTGTGACGCTTGAGAGAACATGCCAACATCACATCAGGACACTCATGAGTGGAGATCAGCCTTTGGGGACCGTTGGGTTCACGCTATCATGACCATTTAGGATGGATTCTCTCTACGCACTGCACTCAGTTTCAACCTCAAGTCACAGTGAAATCAAGTATGTTTGTTCAGTGTAGTGGATGCATATAAATAAATAAATGCACCAAATGTTTTTTTTTTTTTTTTATAAAATTAAAGTTGCATGTAGCCGAAAGCAGAGACATAGAGTTTGGATAATTGAGCATTTGTCCTCACCTGTCAATATTTCAGCCAAACAAATCTTACATATTTCAACTTTGGTCAGAGAAGCGCTAATTTAATGCCACTTTTTCAGTTGATGACTTTGGCCCTTTGGAACCAAAATGTATTTTATTGAATCAATGTATTTATTTATTTATGTTTATTTATGTTTCGGACTAATATTTTTTTGGTCACCAAAATGTAGGTGCATCAGGGCTATTATAGTCAACTCAAATTAAAATTAAAACCATTAAAATGTTTCTTAAATGTTAACAGAAATAAAATAAAAACATTTTCATGTTAATTGAACTTGACGTACTAAAATGACTAAAACTGAAATGAAAATGAATAAAAACTGTATAGATGCATATAAAAAACAAAAGCTACTAAAATGACAAAACTCCACAATATTGCTAAATCTTTAACTACAAAAACTGTAAAAACTGATTTTAAATATTAATAAAAACTAAAAGTATATGATTGGGTTTTTACAAATTGTATTTCATATTTCAATTTGTTGTATTTAATTTTTTGTTAGATGTTCATACTACAAACGATTAAACCTTTTTTTAAGTCTGATTTGATTAGATTTTTGTCTAAAAAATGTCTTGTGTAGAATCTGACCTGTATTGAACATATTTAGTTAAAGCATGCATTCAAATACATGTTTGATTTAATAAAGCTGTCCACTCTTATAAGGTCATTTCAGGCCTCAAAACGGCAGATGCATGTGAACTTTACCCGCAGATAACGTGATGTATGTTTGGACCTCAGGTTGAGCCGTTTATGTTCTTTAAGTCGACTCAGTTCTGTGTTCGGGACATTTGTGGCTCACAGCTAAATATCTGTCAATGCAGTAACCATCACTAGTCTATACTAATGAAGGCCTTTGAGTTTCTAACGATGGGCTCAGTGCCTTCTGTGGAGTCTCAAACCATCCATAAACTCTCTGATTTCCAAAAGCGATGGAAATGTACAGTATTGCTGCTTGTTTCAGACAAGGAGGATCTCTGCGTGTCCACTCCATGGGTCACTGCCGCCCACATCTGGGCTTTGTTTGCGTGCGGGGTCACCCGCGGCCGATGGGAACTATATGTTCCTGATGCGTTTGCTCCTGTTTCACGCTCTATTTATAGAGCTGATGAGGAAGGATGCTTGAAATCCGATGCGCCTCCATTAAAACGGAGGGAAGGCAGGGCTGCTGCTGCTCTCTAATGGCTTTACGGTCGAGAAACGCTTGTAATGAACAACTCAAACGGGACCTACAGTAGCAATGCTTTTATAGACTCTTAATTCAGATTCCTGGTCTGATTATGAAGGATTCATCAGTGATGTTGTTCGAATGGAAAACAACATCACTGCTTCATCTCTCAAATGGTTTTCTTTTTCGGCTGACATCAGCATTTGCTCACTTTATCAAGCTTTCATCCTCTTCTCTCCATCTTCCAGGGACATTATGATAGATGGTCCAATCATTAATATTAGAGGTCAGGTTTTGCCGATTTATCGGTTATCGGTAAAATCCATACCGATAGTTTACTCCTCATGGAGTTAAAAAAAACTTCTTGTTTGTATTTGTATGAAATGGTAACACTTTACGATAAGAGTCCATTTCTAATGTAAACTAAAGTTACGAAATGCTATAGAAGTGTTATTCATCATTGTTAGTTTCAACATTTGCTAATACATTTTTACATTTTTAAGTTGCATCT